TTCAAGTTCCTCCACAGACTGATATGTGGCCAGGGGGACACCACAATATGAACAGATAGAGAAATATTGTAAAGTGCCCAACCTGGTTCACTGAGGGGATGGCTTCCACTGTGGGACACAAGCATTGCATTCACTGAGGGAGCAGGCCACTGTGGAACACAAGCACTGCTCTTCCATGCCTCAAACCTCTGGATAAAAGCAGCTTTTTGTCATGAGTAAATCAAAAGAGGTAAAACTTCAAGAAGAAATGTCCTTCTCTATGAGCACAATTAAATTATTCCCGGGAGGGAAAGTCTTCAAAACAACAAATGAGTTTTTATTAAAAATAAGGATGTGTTCTTTTGTAAATATTTTGGCTTTTTTTTCCACTCTGGCTAGATGTGGTTGCTAATGTCTTTGCATCCTCAGCTGATGGTTGCCCACCTTTAGAAGTCTAACCCTAAGATAAAAGAGCTAGGCAAAAGAGACATTTGCACTAAGTTCAGGAACCTCATTTCAGTGAATAATTTATCCCAGACAATTAGCCTGGATTTTTTTCTCTAGTCAGTGGAAAAAGATACTTCCAGGCATATATTCAAATCACTTCACTTATATTCCTAAGGTGACATATCAGATGCAACCTTCCATTTATTTGCGTTTGGGGAGGGTGATTTGCTTTCATAGGAAAATTCAGAAAGCTTATGTACACAAATAGCCTTATGCATAGTTCATCATCTCTCTTTTTAGGGTGCCTTGATAGGTGTAAGTATAAGCAGAGTGCTCTTTGGCCATCATTAGAAAGGGTCCACTGACTGTATTTAAATTAAAATGATGGACTTCTGAAAACGTCACATTATTTCCCTCAGGCAGACATACACACTCTGTAGAGGGCAATGTGGAAACAGCAAGGATTTCAGGATCAGCCATGTAACTGGTACATAATGTAGGGTTTATGTGCCTTCTGCCAACATAGATTTTAAAAAGATCTCGTATGAAACAGCATGTCCATGCAGACTTATAGTTGCCTTTGTCTAAGGGCTTAATTCTCTCCACCTATTTCCTCAGATCTCCTCCTAACTACATGAAAAAGACATCTACATGTATGTTAATCATCTGTCCTGGTTTTCCACACCTGTACTGAATCTTTGCTGGTCAAATCCTCCTGGGGCTCTGAGTAGGACTTCCTGCTCTCCTGAACTAGCAAGAACTCTGTGAGGGAAAAAATCCTAATCAAGCCATGGGGATGAGCCTTCCCCTAGATACTTGGATATTCAGCTGCACCAGGAGTGAACCCTGAGGACTATGGTACATATTGTGCACTATAAATATCCAAATATTTTATGAAGGTTCAAGAAGTGGTTAGTAGAATGGTTTGTGGTAAAAAAAAAAAAATCTGTTTCAGTGGTGGAAAGAAAAGCAAAGGGCAGATTTACACCATAGCTGCCAGCTGCCTGCTATACCTTGCTGAAGATCATGATGTTTGGGACCCCCAAAAACAAAGGGCTTTTGGCATTGTTGGCATAGGGGCCAAGATTTATTTTTTTTTGTGAGGCTCCTCTCCTCTCAAGCTCTGTTTCTCAAAGCACTGGAAACAAAGGAACAAAGTGCTTAAAGTCACTCGAAACACAAGAGAGATTCAAGACAGGTTAAAAAGAAAAACCATTCATCAGGGAGTCTACAGAAAAATTTGAAGGAAGCCTCGACATAAAACAAATCCAATACCTATCCCTACCAGAGATTCATATTACAGTTGTACTGACTGACATATTATAGCTGGTGGAGACTAATGCTACTGTAAAAAACCTGTGATGCTAGTTTGGCTGTTCAAATACTCATGAAAGTCATTTTAGAAAGATCTTTCCCTGAAAATTTGGCTACAAACACAATATAATTATGTTAGTACTATTTTATACATATATATATATATATATTATTTTGTTTTTTTACTTAAAAATGCTAGCACCATTCTGGAAGTGGGTAAATGATTGTTTCCCTTTAATTGAAATAATATGAAAATATCATAAATTGAGGAATAAAAGAATATTGTTCTACAGAAACATCTTTCAACGTAATTTTATTGTGTCTATTTTGCTGTCAGTTTAGCAACATTTGAGACCTCATAATAAAAATATTTTATTTGATTTATCCATTCTACTTGAGACCATGAATCTTGAATTAATGTTGCAAGGTCAAGGAAGTTTAGGAATCCAATAGTCTCAAATGAATGTCAGTTAGCTAAGAGGTGCTCGAGGAGGGCCTATTAATAATGAAAGCCCCAGGCAAATGTATAATGCAAACCCTTCAGATCTCAACACAGAGTTCATGTTCTCTTGAGAGTCATCTGATGAAGAGACATTTTGTTATAATGAAGAGAATATAATATACAGTAACATAAAAATAAGTATATTGTTCATTCTATATGTGTGATTTTATGTGGCAGTACAGCTATTGCTGCATATGTAATAGTAAAAGAGATCAGTGGCAGACGAGATAATGAAGACTTCCATAGTAAAACCATTTTCTTACCTAGATATTTTAATATTTTAAAGTAATTAAATTAAATTAAAATATATTTCAAATAATTAATTTTACATTAATATTTTAAAATAATTAAATTAAGAAATAGAGTGTATTAAAATGTATACACAGTCCGAGTAGACACTACTGTATGTCTGGTGATAATCTAAATACAGAAAAAAAAAAAATTGTTAGTGACCAGTTCTTCATCTGAGTTAGCAACAAAACTGACTTCCAAGAGAGGCACAAAAATGTGCTTAATCACTAGTATTTAATATGTTAAAATCAATTTATAAACCTTAAAATATAGTCCCTGTGATTTTACTAACTAGGATTTTTTTCTGTATTTTATGAGGAGAATGTGTCAGAGTCACATAGCAAATTAATAGGATAGTAGAATTAAAGTACATGTTTGCTGTTTCCTTAGCCACCAGTCAGAACTTGTGTTAGAATACAATTTTAATTTAGGATGGATAGCAAGAGATGTAGAAGGGCAGAAGTTACGCTCATGTTCTTTTGTAAGGACACATAACACAACACTCTCCTGAAGACATGTACAGGACCCCTGTGTTTTCCAGCACCATGTGTGGGTCATCTTGCTGCTTGACTGGACTAGAGCTACCTACAGGCACAGATACAGAAAAAATTCAGCTAGTGTTGTATACAGGCATAGCTCTTTGGTATGGACATGGCACGAAGGTGTGTTGATGCTGAAGAAGGATTATGCTCTTCCCTCTTTGCACACAAGTTAGGTGATGCAGGCGTGCAGCGCTGTTGGTGCCCACAGGCTTGTCCACGTGGTCAGGGCTGCCAGGCTCAGGTGGGATCAGCACTGATGGAAGCAGATTTAGGCTGCCAAGGTTTGGATGGTTTTACTGAGGGACTTACATAGTGTGGATGAATGGATGTGGGATGCTGGCAGACACATCAGCTTACACATTTTATGCATCCAGCTCACACATCTGGCCCTTATTTCCATCAGCTACATCTGGTGTGTGGGCTTCAAGCACAGGAGGCTGGCTGCAGCACTCAGCTGCAGCCCAGGACTGTGTATGTCCTTTTGGCCATGGCCCAGCAACCGAGCTGGGGCAGCGTGCCTGTTTCTTGTGACCCAGCACGATGGGGATAACCATACCTGTGCCATGTGAGAAAATTGCAGCAGTCCGCTGCCGCCTCCTGTCACCTTCCCAGGTCACTTTGGGCTGGGGGTCATGTCAGGGTTTCATCATCTTCACCACTGACAAACTGAGCCCATGTGAAATATTTTCTGGTGCCAAGGAAAGGTGTAAAGATCACTTTTGAGAATGACTGCTGAGTTCAGCTGTTTGTGTCTCAACATAATGGGTTGGCTTTTTTTTGTTTCTCTTTACTGACTTTCAAGAAGGCAAAGAGATACTTCAGGCAAAGAGCTGGTGGTGCTCAAACACTTGAGGACATGTTGGGCCTAGCCATTTAGGCATTTTTTAGGACTGTTTCATATGAATCTTCACCATTTTCTTTCTCCAAATATAAGAAAAATTAAGAACATATTTTAAGCATTAAGCAACAAATAAGTGAATAATAATGTTACAGTCGCATCCATCTCCTAAATACATTTTGCATAAAGTATAGTAGGCATCATCTGTTCTGTAAGTGTAACTCTAGTGGCTACAAGTCAGCAGCACTATCTTGCTATGTAACTATAGACTAGCATTACATTTTTTTTCTTTTCTTTTCCTTGATGGTAGATTATGACATGGGCAGTATTGTACATAATCCTTTGACGATGGCCAATCTTCCACCTTATTTTATTGCCTTACTGACCAATTTCTTATTGCTCGTTTTTTAATAGCAGAACAACGAGATAAAAGAATGCAAGTTACTAGGGATGCAGTTTATCAAAGTGAGTTATCTTCAGTCAGCCTGAATTACTTTAGTCTTGCTGGAATTCTTGCCCTGCATAGCATTTACTTGGGCAACTGTTAAAACTTCCTATATGTTTCATTCCTTCAACCTCCTGTTTTATCAGTCTACCCTTGTTAAGACAGAGAAAATCAGAGATATATCATTTAAGATAGTTAATTTTCCTAACAGCTTCTAGTCCTCTACAGGAAAGGATGCTGTGAGGCTGTATTTGCCAAAGTACATAAAAGGTCACCTTCTCGAGTCCCATGTGGTTGTCTTCTGGCTGGTCTTTAAAGAGAGGTTCCTATCATGGTTTGGGAAAACAGAAGGAGTTTCTCTCTTGGGATTTAGTAAGAGGTTTACAATACGTTTATGTCATAGGGATCAGAACAAAGCAAAGAACAAATGTTTTTAGCTGGGATCAAATGCTTGGGAAATGTCCAGCATGGTGAGATATCTGAGAAAGACTGCTTAGAAAGCTATATCTTTCCCTTTACCAGCTTGTGGAATAAAGCCAAGCATTTGTCATCTATCTTTATGTGATGTTTTAAGATTTTTGTGCTGTTAGTTATTAAAGTTGGTCCTAACATGAACTTGTGAGATGGGACTTCATCGAGGCATATCAGATGGAGAATGTGCCTGCCAGCTTACATCTGCAGTCACAGAAACCATGGTTACTATAAAAGTAAAAAAAATACAAAGCAACCATAATGCTATTCAACGGTCTATGTAAATGCACAACATCCAACACAGACTACTTACATAGACAAGAGTTGTATGTAAACATCCAGAACTGATGAGGTTTTCACAGCACATGGTAACACATGTACTTTTTTAAGAGTAGGGACCATGTCAGCCAGACCCCTACACTAAATCCTGAGAACCAAGTGGGTTGAAGCCCTCAAAATACTGAGTACTGATAAACAACTGAACTGGTTTTAGCATTTCATGTTGGTTCTGAGGTAACTGATTAAATTGGCATCTCATGGCATTTTGGAATTTAATTTACAAACTCCATACTTCATTGTGAAATTCTGGAAGCTTTCACCTACTTGTGGAACACCTTGTGTAGACTTTGCATCTAATGTCACACACATAAGAGATGGTGTGGTTTTTTTTGTTTTGTTTGTTTGTTTGTTTTGTTAGCTGTTGTTTTTTTGTTTGTTTTGTTGTTGTTGTTGTTTAATGCTTCTGTTGCAGCTGATTAACACTTTTAAATGCTATGCTTCGATTATGACCTCCCAAGGGGGCACGAAGTGCACTTCCATGGTCTGAAGGTTCTGGGCCTGCATGATACAAATCCATTTCAGAAGAGCCGAGCAGACTTTAGTCTTCTTCCTATGGCCTATTTTTCACAGTTGCTGAGCCCAGAAGGGTTTGCTGTTACTTTCCAACATGTGCTCTCCTCTGAATGCAGTCACCACTGGGGCCATGATTAAGGAATGTGCCACAGAGTGTCTCTTCCTCATAGACTAGGCCAGACTTTCAAAACATCCTAAAACATGGGTTTATAAAGACAACTGACTTTTTTCCCTAGGGGCATAGATAAGACAATTCAGAACTCATTGAAGCAAACTGACAGGATGTTTAGCAAAAAAAAAAAAAATGCATTGTGGGGAGACAATCTGCCACATGCCACCACAGGCATGTCATTTAAATTGTATAAGGAAGTTCTTCATCACTTTTAATGGGGAAAAAAAAAAAAGGCAATTTGCCCACATTTTCCCCACTCTCATCTGACCCCTAGTTCAGAGAGAGATTGGATCTAGGAGCCAAGACTTTATTTACATATGGCACAATAAAACCCACACAGCAATTGATACTGGACGTTTTTCTTGACCATATTCCTCTACTTGGTCTAAAAAAGTAAGTCTTTAATAATTAAATAATTAATGTCAAGCTAAAGCTTCATATAAAGGCTTCCCTAAAGTTCCTTACTGAAAATTCCTTGCTGTTTTTGCCTTTGGCTATATTATAGCCATTGCTTGTCTTTCAGAGTTTGAATGTCCTTGGTCTGAAAAATGTTGCTGACAGGACAACTTAAATGTAACAAATGTAATACAAAGAAGTCTGACTTTGTCATGGTCATTGTCTTGTTTCCACTGTGACTTGAAATTAGAAATGAGAAGGAGGTTTATGCTGGGGTTTAGTGAGAGATTTTTCACTTAAAAACATAATTAGGATATTGAAAAGTCTAACAAAAGATGAAGATTCAAATAGCATGGAGTAGAACAGCAGTGAGCAGAGAGCACACTGGGGCATGGCTAATGAATAGCAGTCCAAAGAAAAAGGATGGATTAGAAAGACCAATAGCTCTCTTCATACTAATTTCCCAAATTTCTGTATATTCTTTAGAAAGAGGATTATTATTAATTAGGGTCTTGCTGCTCTTTTTTGAACTTTTATGTCATTAACTTGGCTAAGAAATGCTGTAATTAAACATGTTATGAGAAATGTAACATTATTCAAGTTACTATTCAGGCTATGGCTGCACATGTATAACTATACTGAAGTCCTTAAGAAAAATAAATTAAAAAAAAAAAAAAAAAAGTAATTGAATATTTATTGTAACCTTTCTATTGAATTATTAGAACTCCAGTTTTCCCAGTTAAATACTCTCTTTCTAGGGACGGAGAGAGACAGCCATGTAACTGACACTGCAAACCAAATGCTCTCAAGCTGAAGTTGTAAAGGTGAAAGTACCATTGATCGATGTGGGTTAGGATCAATGCTGGAGCAGAACAGGGCAGTAGTAGTTCTCCACCCATATTTCTCTGTTAGCAACCCATGGTGTCCATCTGTGCAAATGCCTCAGGCCTCTAATAGATGTTCATGCCATGTTCATTGGGTCTTCTTCTCTACTTCCTGAGTTCCTAAACAAAACAAATAAACAATAAAAGAAAGAGGAAGCTAAATGTGTATGGAAAAGAGACAAACTCCCAAGTATGTTTTGAGTCTGGTCACCTTTCTCTTCACCCTGATATGGATCAGCTTTCTCAACTGGTAATGGCCTTAGATAAGGAGACCTTTGCCTTCTCTTCCATACCATGACCAGGCCTGCATGGGCCCAACACCCTTGGAGACTGCAGTAGCCTTTTTTTTTTTTTTTTACAGTAATCTGACTCAGATCTTTACAGAGGTTTGTTCAAACAGTACCTGATTCTTCACTGAAGTTATGGTCTCATTTTAACCTCTAGTTTTAGTATTCAATAAAAATCAATGGATTCGTTTTAAAAGTTTCTTATTACATCAGAATAACTGAAAGATCAGATCAGAATATCAATCACTGAATATGTACTGTTGGTCTTTTTTGCTCCTATGACCCACTCAAAGGGTGGAATAAAAGACTTCCTGAGGCTGGAATGCAGCATTTAAATCTTTACTGGTATGAAACATTTAGTTCTATACAAGATAGTGGGTCACCTCAAAAAATTGTAGCTATCATAAATGTTGAAATTCTGCAGTTAAAAATATTTCATAGGTAAATGTCTAAACAGAACACCTAACACTTCAGAATTAGCTGCAGATATTCAAAATCATTCAACAATCACATTTATTTAGACATCAAAATCTAGACTACAGGAGCCCAAATTTATTCACTCATGTTTTAGTATTTGTAGTTGGGAATTCAACATATTTAGAAGAGAAAAATAAATCCAAAAACTTGTGCCAAATCAAATTCACTTAGAATTTTCTCACATCTTCTCTTATTAACAGATGGATGGATAATTAGAAAGAGAAACCTAAAGCAGAGGATAAGAAAATGATTCAGAAACAAGTGTGAGAAATTAAGTACAAAGAGAGAGAAAGGTTGAAGACAAAGGAAACAAGATGAAATGGGATATGGTCTGGGAGAGAAATCTTTTCTGGCCAGACCTGTGGAAACTGAAGGCATAGTGATTGTAATTTCGTTTGTAGATTGTTTCTGAACCACTGCCAATATCAGATAATTTAGCAATGGTAGGAGTTTAGGAATGACTTACCTTTTTCCTCTGTGGAAGGAAAATCACTTTGCATTACATTTTTGTAGTGTTATAGAGCCTTTCATTGGATTCAGGTTGTAGCTGAAGCTCACACCTAACAATAGCAGAAATCTGTTCTTGGGATGTGGCCACAACACAAACAAATCAAAATAATTAGCAGAACAATATATATCTTCAGAAGACTAATGCACACTCATGAAAATATAAAGATACCACTTATATAATCAGGGAACAGAAAAACCTGATGTTTTAAACATACCAGTATTTGAAGAAGAGGAATCAAGCATAATGAGTGAAACAAGGAAACAAAAAGCTTAATTATGCAAAATGAGTAGGACTGCTGGACTATTTTGACAACCCTTTTGGAAAGAAAAGGATAACCCTTGTAAATTGAAGAGTAAAACAGGAGTTGTTTATGTAGTTGTTTAATGTAGGGGTTGTTTAATATAGGGGTTGTTAAGTTGGCTGCATTAGCAGTCATCATGTTCCATGACAAATGGAAAAGCTGACTTTACCTGAGAGTAGGAAAAGCTTCATGCCTCAGAGTATAGATGAGATCCAATTGGGCTCTGCGGGGTGATAACTTCACTTCAGGTACTTTGTGATAACTTGGTGGTGGTGTGCAGGTGAAAGGAATTACAGGCCTCCCAACCTCAGCCTTGAAGAGTCACAGGGATAGAAATGACCTTTTGGGTCCTGTGGAGTTTTAAATAACAGTCTCTGAGAACATGGGAAAAATATTCAGTGAGACAAGAATTAAACCCATACGCACTTCAGCCTGTATGTTTTATGGCACTCTATTTCTGCAGTTGTAGGGGGGCTGCTGTCCCTCACTTGCAAGAGGCAATGAGGGACATTGCAAGAGGCAATTCCGTGGATGTCAAGCTACTTTGCTCTAGATGTTTTTGTATCGTTTGCAACTCTGATTTCTTTCTCAAATAATAATGAGCTTTAGATAGCAGGTGACCTTGTTAAATGCTGAACTGATTCATTCCAGTTTGACTCATTCTCAAGTACTTCTTCCCATACCTTCTCTCTTGTGTTCAAACTGAGCATGACAGTTTAGCATTGGGAAGCTGAAGTAGACAGTGCAAGCAAAGAAAAGTTGAAGCTATTATTGTTTCAATCACTAAAACCATTTTGGAAAACCTCCCAGGCTGTTCTAAGCTATCTCTTCAGTCAATAGAAATGGAGGCCAAAAAAAAAAAAAAAAACAAAAAAAAACAAACAAAAAAAAAAAAAAAAAACTGTGCTCCTGGGCTCTGCATCAATGCCATCTTGGCTATCACCCCTTGCACCCTTCACTCACACTTAACACCAGATGGAGGGCTCTCTGAGACAATCACCTGCTTTGACCTTTTCCTTCTGTTCCTTCTGAATGCTGCAATATTAGAGCAGCCTGGCACAAAGTGCTTTGTGTTGATGCAGCAGTTCACAGATGTATACAGCACCTCAATTTTCTAAAAATAACCAAGGACAGGAAATGCTGAGCTAACTTCTTCCCCCCTCTATCTCACAACATTCAGTGGCATAAGTGAAAACGAGAATCTTAAAGCTACATCTTTGATATAGATGCTCAGGGGAGTGGTTTAGTAATATATACTGCATTTTTTATTTGATAAAAAGTCCAAATTTCTTAATGTCCTGTTACATATCTGAAGCATTATGCACACATGCCTGAACAATTTGTTTAAGTCTATACATCATGCTGTTTCATCACTTACTTAAACTCAGTGAATTATTTCCCAGCCAGATTTTATTTTCAGATGTGCCCAACCATCCATATGAGGGGCAAAGAAAGCAAAGGAAACATGTCATTTCCCCACCCTATTTTCTGTGGTGGAAAAAAATAGTTTCATAAGTGTGAAACTTAAATACCTTTGCTCTGAAAAATATTCCCACAAAGTTTATTTAACTCAAACCGAAGTTGACTTCTCAGGATGATTCCTGAGTCCTGAATCTGTGACCTAGAAAGCTGAGAAAAGCAACAATCTCTGACAGTAACGTGAAGAAATATTTTTATACTTGCTAAAAGTAATCAGGCAGGGATGATAGACTAGCTCCACAAAATTAGTTTTTATGGGAAGAGTACGTTTCATGACAGTTATGGACAATATCAGTGTTCATGGCACTCAGTAACAGCTAGCTAGGCTAAGAAATAGCCATAGAGGGAAATCCTGGTGTGCGTTACAGACACTTTGCTTTGCTTCAGCACTCACAAGGCTTGTGTCACCAACTAACTTTTTTATTATTTTTTTTTTTAAGTATTACTATATCTCAATAAGGACTTTTCCAGTCTATATGAAACTCTGTCTAAGTGGTAGGATAATGCCCTGGAAAACAGGCACAGTCCTTAGTTTATGTAATACATAAAATATTTTTTTTTTTACTATTTGGCTTTTGTCTCCAGGAAAAAGATGCCGAAAGGCTGTGATATAACCTTTCCCAACCATAGGGCAGTAAATAAAAATAAGGATGCAAAAAGAAATAAACAACAGCAGCAAAAAAGCATCAATGAAATTCATGAAGCTGTGCAAGGGTTTGAGAAAAGGTTTGAATGCTGCTCTAGAAAAGTAGATTACAGCTTGTGGGAGGATCAGAAATGCTGATGGCAACTCTTTTAAATCGTATTTAGGAGCACATATGTAGAAGAACTAACCTGAATCAAGAGGTAACTTGTTATATCTGTATTGTTATATCAGCTGCAGAATTTGTATCAATAGAAGATACAGATAATAAAAATAAAAACAAGGTTTTCTTCAGCACGTACTAATAATCTTTGTATGCATTCATTTTACATCTACTGTGTTTCTAGTTTACCTTCTTGGCAATCAAAACAGAAGGGGCACTTTATAACATCTGCAGGCAATTTTTATAGACACTAGCGATTCATAAACTTTGATTTCAAAGACATTTCCTACAAGTCTTTTTTGCTCCACAGGCCACATGAATTTCCCCACAAAAAAATCCTTGATTTGTTTCCAGAGTTTATCTCACAATTTCTGTTGTCTTGGGGATGGAGTGGTTTTGTTATAGCTCAATCACTGTGAGATATTAACACAGCAAGCTCAAACAAATTCCCAAGCCAGGAAAGGGTCCTTTAACCATTTTTTTTTTCAGAGATTCTTTTGTTGCTTTTGTTGTTGTTGGAAAAAAAAATAAAAAATAAAAAAATAGAAAACAACTTCAATTTTTCACATATGAAGAATAATATGATTTGAACCTTAACCACATTGTTTCCATGATGTAACTAAAAGATACAGTAAGATATGGTGGGAACAAGTGAGGAAAGAAAACTGTGGTGGGTTCGGATAAACTGGAAAAAAGTTTTTCTAACTGTAATAAGATGTTGATATTGTCAATACTACTACAAATCTATACATTAAAATTCCATTGTGGTTGTGGCCAAATATTGGTAACTTAAAGCTTAAATACATTGCAAAACTTTCTTAAACATCTCATATAATTTTGTAACTATCTGCTGATAAAAACATTATGGTAATACCAAAATCATGCATCCTGGCTGGAACAACAGCTTTGCTGAAGATGAGTTGCAAGAGGATCTTGTCTGATCTGTGCTGAATAAAACAGCATCGGGGTAATGACTTAGAAGTAAACAAATGTGGAAGGAACTTCTAGCAGTTATCTTTGCTGTGAGCTTGTTGCAGGATCCTAGTTCATGTCACATGAACTATATTTTTTTTAAAGCAGCAACAGATAAAAGAATGTATCCATGGTGGCAAGATGTGTAATTCCAGTAATTGTTGGCTCAAGAAAAACATTACAGGATAATGACAGATTGTAGACCCTGAGTTTTTATTGGAGTGCTTTCAGACATTGCTGTACTTTCAAATGGAGTGCAATAAAAATATTTGAAAACAAGAGGAAAAGGAAACTGCCCTCCACACAGATCAGGCATGTGGGTTTTATTAGTTGGAGCAAGGAAAGATCAGGTACAGTCATACAGGTATCTTTGTGGTTACCATTTTTAATGGAGATTTTTAAGGTACTAAACAAGGTATTGAAATCATGTCTATGCTTACAACCAGTTGTGAGGTCTCACTCAGTGCCAGTTATTCAAAGAAAAAGCCCAAAAGGAGGACCAGGGCTGTTAAATGATTCAGTGTATCTTAAAGATCCCACATTTTTCCACTCATTTGTGTAGCTGACAGCTAGCAGATTCATCTTCATTTTTTCAAACCTGTTCTTAGAAGTGTCTTTCAGCAGGTGGAAGTGGATTCAAAATACAGGGGCAAGAGTATTATCAGTGTGAATGTTCTGAGTTTAGCTTGTATTATTCTCTTGATAGCTCTACATCACCAAATAAGCTATTTCTTGATATACCATGTGGACGGTTTTGAATTTGGTGCACACTATTTCCAGAGTGAACTGATGAACTTACAGATAGTTGTGATAAGATTAAGCATTTCAGTTGGAAATGTTATCCAAAGAAATGTGAACTCTTTCAGAAAGAGGTCGCCTACCTCAGGTGCATGCTCAACTCAGAGAGAATTTCCACTGCCAAGTGAAAATATGAATGGTGTAAATCTGGTTAACTTCCCTGGCATACTGAGACTTAAAGTTTTACAGGGCTACACTACTAGAACAGAAGGTCTATTTCCATGTTACCAAAACTATTACCTGGTTTGGGATAGAAGAGAAAAATATAACATTACTCCCTAATTCTGTTTGGAACCTGTAGAGGTGAAAACCTTGTTCCCAAGGGGTCGGTGCTGGGGTCCATCTTGTTTGATAACTTTATTGATGATTTGGAATCAAGCATGCCCTCAGTAAGTTTGCAGACCACACCTAGCTGTGTGGAAGTGTTGATTTGCTGGAGAGTAGGAAGACCCTGCAGAGGGACCTGGACAAGTTGAATTGATGGGAAGAGGCCAAGGGGATGAGGTTCAACATGACCAAGTGCCAGTTCCTGCACTTTGGCATTATCCTGCATTTCAAGGCATCCTGGCTTATATCAGGAATTGTATAGCCAGCAGGACCAGGGAGGTGATTGTCCCCCTGTACTCTGTTCTAGTGAGGCTGTACCTTGAGTACAGTTTTGTGCCTCTCAGTACAAGGACATCAAGGCCCTGGAACATATCCAGAGAAGGACTACGAAGCTGGTGAAGGGCCTGGAACACAAATCCTGTGAAGAGCGGCTGAGGGAACTGGGGTTATTTAGTTTGGAGAAGAGGAGGCTCGGGGGAAACCTTATTATTCTCTACAGTTACTTGAAGGGAAGGTGTGGGGAGTGGGGGGTCAGCCTCTTCTCACAGATAACTAGTAATAGGACAAGAGGGAATGGTCTCAAGTTGCACCAAGAGAGGCTCAGGTTGGATATTAAGAAAGATTTCTTCTCAGAAAGAGCAGTCAGGCACTGGAGAGGGTTGCCCTAGGGAGGTGGTGGAGTCACCATCCCTGACGGTGTTTAAGGAAAGGGTAGATGTGATACTTTAGGACATGGTTAGTAGGCTATTTTTCTGATAGGTGGGTGGTTGGACTAGATGATCTTAGAGGCCTTTCCCAACCTTAATCTTCCTGTGATTCTATGAAAAATGTTCTCAAGTGTCTTTAGAGTCACTTGAGATGCATTTTGAAATTCTGTCCATATTGAAAGCAGAGGTAAAGAGATGTTGGAACTGAGAATACTGAATTGTGGGATAATGAATAATAGTGAAAGTCCTT